AAACACACAACTTTTTTATTACTCTCACTATGAATATTTTTTGATGACGTCTAAAGTTTTTGGGTTGTAACGGAGCAGCTATATTTATTACTTTATGCTATATATATATATATATATATATATATATATATATATATATATATATATATAATGATTACATATACATATTTTTTAGCAATATAAAGATAATAAACACGTTAATACAATGTGAAGTGTTTAGCGGAGAAAGCTTACCATTATTCCTCTTATTATTACAAGTAATAATGATTTGATTTCGTTTGAACGTTACTAATAGGAATATCGACATTCCATATTCTTGTTTTTGTGTATGTTTTTCGTTACAGTTGTGTATTTCGCTTATTTTCTTCCTTCGTTTCTATTGCAGAGCATTAATTAGAATAACTAATCTATAACTTAATGTGTCTGTACAATATGTTCAGTAACAGGACCCGTTTCTTGGTGGAACCTAAAAGCCGATTGTATAGCTTGTTAGTGAAAAACGTAAATTTTCGTTTTTGTTATTATATCTCTGTTCTTGTACACTGTGACTTGTAAAACAGTTTATCGTAACATAAAAAAAGTACAAAAAAAGCATTACATGTAATGGCCGGCTACGATATGTTTGTGTCGAGCCAACAACTGCCAGCCGTTATTCAATTTCTTGTTAACGACCGTGCAACTAATTAGGTTGTGTTAAGTAATAAATTTTCTTGTATTAGAAAAAAAACCAGCCCGGTTGTGACATACACATTTACCCACAGTATCGTGACATTGATAAATTTACGCGATACCGGGTGTTCGCAGCGCCACCACGACGGCATTTTACCATCGGCTGAACAGAAGAATGAAAACAAAGTTGAGTTTAGCGAACTTGAAATGCGTTCTGGATACCTGGTACCGAAGATAACTACTATGTGAATATATGTATTGCTTACATATACTCATCGGAGCAGCGCTTTTACTATGTCCTACGCTGTCCTAGCTGATTTTACGATTTCCCCTTACTGTCACTATATACAGAGATTTATTGTTCTAGTTTCTAGCTGTTCCATCAGCCTACATACAGTTTATATGACAATCAATAATGAATAATTATTTGCTTTAGGCGTGCTTGTACCGCTACTATGATAGTACATCTGAAGCCACAAATAACAGACCGTCATATCTTTATATGTCAGTGAATATTAGAAGATTCAGATCACAAAACACGAAACGGTTCCGAAGAACCGGCCAGACGCAGCAAGTTTAAGGAGAAAGGATGTAAAGGAGCTATAGTTGACCTGAGCCATTCCTTGCTTGCAAGTAAATTTCTAACGAACAATAATAATCACTTACTTTTATGAAAACAACGACTCTTACTACTATTATTATGTTAC